GGAGCATAAATGCAGCCTGGATGTCCAAGAAAAGCAGGTGGCCTGGACACTGGCGGCCACAAGGCTCTCAGATAACAATCGGATGCTGCAGCCCGCACTGACCCAGAGGCCATGTCCCAGTCAGGACCGCCTCTCGGGCGCAGGGCCTGTCGGCCTGCCTTCCGCTGGGCGAGTGCTGGGCGGATGCGATGGGAACGTGCAGCCGGGCGGGTCTGGGGATATTTATAACCCTGCCACTGCTGCCAGCTGGGTGCCCTCAAGGTCAGCTTCCTGCCCAGCCCCACAGCCAATGTTTACTGAGATGGCAGGCACCGGCTCGCCCAGCCACACGTGCCGACTCAACCCCACTGCGGGGGCTGACAGGGCTCCTGGACATGGCAGTGACAGTCTCGACCCTCAGCAGGTGTCACCAGGAATCTGGACATGGGACCATGCCAAGGGTAGACTGAAAGAGGAACCATGCAGCCAGATGTGGTGGCTCACGTGTGTGATCTCAGCACTTAGGAGGCCGAGGATTTCTGCAAGTTCAAGGCCAGGCGAGGCTCCAGAGTGGGCTCAAGGGCAGCCTGATACACATAGTAAAACCCTGACTCAAAAAATTAAAAAAGAAAAGAAAAAAGAGCCATGGAAGTCCAGGGAGGGCCTCATGCTGTTTTAAAATGAAAAGTTTCTCAGAAAAAGGCAGGACAATGTTGGAATTGGCTTTGAAGGATGAGTAGGAGCCTGCCAGACACTGCAATGGGTAGAGCGGTGAGTGAGGAACAGGGACTTTGAGGGCAGGTGCTGGGACACAGCACGGGGGTGAGGAGAGGAGGGTCCCATCCCAGGCCCACCCCCTGGGGCCACAGCCCCGGAGGATGGAGGCGGGCACCTGTGCCCGTGTGAGCGTGGGCACAGCTGCTCCTGTGCCCAGTGTGGGGCTCATGGACCCGGAAGGCACGCCCGTGTGCGGCACTGCAGACATGCGCCACACACACGTTACGCTTTTAGGTTACAGCTCCTGCGCCGTGCACCGCCTGACACCGTGCTTGTTTCTCTGTATCATCAGCTCGGACGGCTGCAAAGCCAGCCTGCAAGGGTTTGGCCCTCTTTTAATTTCCAGATTAAGCCAGGCACAGTCATCGCACTCTGGGAGGGTGAGGCAGGAGGGTTACAACTCTGGACACCCAGTCCCAGAACTTAGACAGGGCTGGGGACAGACCTCAGTGCAAGAGGTTTCCCAGGGATCTTCATGGAAGCGCTTCAAAGCCGTGGGTCACGAGCGTGCCCTGTGCCCCTGGTTGTATGGAAGGACAAGCAGGAGGGCGTCGTGGCCCCGGTGAGTGCATCCTTGGGTCCTGTGTCCAGCGGCAGGGACACCGTCCTCACTGGGGGCCGGGACGTGCAGGCCTGAGCCACTGTAGCTGCAGGGACCACGTGGCCCTGCAGGAAGGGGAACGGGTGGCACCCCGCCATTTCAGCATGGAACCCCAATCACTGGTGTGGGTGACACTGTTCACCCCACGCTTGGCCCCTGGAGCCGAGCATGACCAGTGTGGACGGGGCAGCTGTTTTCACTGGACACAGCCGTGCTTCACAGTGGGCGTCCCACAGGGCAAGAGATGTCCAAGGCCCGTGTGTCCTGAGCAGCTTGTGCAGAGCCTGTGGGCAAGGACAGCCAGGTGTCCCGAGGGTCACCGAGGCATGTAGACATTGGTCCCTGCCTTTGTCCCCACTCTCAGGTGATGCGTGGGGGCGGCCGGGCCAGACGCAGGCTGCAGTCCACCCACTTCGTGCTGCCCTGGCTCACCCTGCTGCAGCTCACAGTGGCCCCTCTCTCCAGTCCCAAGGGTCACACTCCAGACCCTCACTGCCCAGGGGCTTGGGCCTCCTGCGCTGACAGAGGCCACTTCTGGGCTTGCCGGAACCCTCCTGGGTCCTCGGTGTCCTTGCGGTCTCCCGAGTGCAAACCATAGGAAGGCAGCTCCATGCAGAAGGGAACGCACCCGCATATGAGAGGAAGGCCCAGGGGCTGACGGACTTCGGGTGTGGCTGCATCCAGGGGCTCAGCTGTTCCCCCATTGGCTCCGTTCTGTGGCCCCGGGGCAGGATGATTGCTGCAATTCGAGACCAGCCTGGGCTACGCAGTGAGCCCAAGCTCGGCCTGCACTAGTGAGACCTTGTCTCCAAGGAAAGGAAAGACACTACCTCGGGGTCTGGGGACTGTCGGGCTGTAGCCTCGGCCCTGCCTGGTCCCTCCTGAGCCTCCCGTGACTACAGCCTCGAGGCCTGACACCTTGAGCCCAGAGCCCTCGGCCCCCTCTCCTGCCCCACCCCAGGCTCTGCCCCTACCCCTGCCGGGGTGAGCAGAGGAGGCCCCCACAGACACGCGCTGCCCCTGCGTGTGCACCTCGTGCAGCTACATGCAGCCCCAGTCACACTCAGCCTGCGTCTGCCCCTCCCGGCCTGCATGGGGGACCCTGTCTCTCTCACTTGCAATCTGCGGGACAGGGGCGGTGTGGGAGGGTCATGCTGTACAGCAGGGTCAGGACAGGAAGCAGAGGCCCTGGTGGGTGTTAAGAGGTCACCTCATGTTGCTCCTGCTCTGCTGAGGTCCAGGCTCAGGACGGTGGGAGGGACAGATGGGTCAGCAGGAACAGAGCGGCGGGCAGTGGCCTGGGGGCCCGTCTGCAGATATTTGTGCAGCACCAACTGCATGCCCTCAGGTCTGTGCGGCCCCCAGCTTCTCGGGCTGCCCCTGTCCTGCAGGGGACTCTCCGTCCCCATAGATTCTCACCAAACCCCCCCGGGGGGCACGACCCACACCCCAGGGGGCACAACCCACACACCGTGCGTCTCTCCTTACAGCAGGGCACCAAGGGGGCCTGCAGAGGGTTCTCTGAGCACAGTGCAGGCCCAGTGCAGACAACTCCAGGTAGTGCTGGACTATCGGGACGAGCAAGGCAGACAGGCCGTGACGTGAGGGCCTAAGTGTGGCGGCAAAGGCGCCTGAGAGGCCAGGGGCTGTGCCAGGCAAAGGCCCTGTGGCCTGTGTGCTCAGGATTCCCGGACGTCCTGGGGCAGGAGCTCGCGGCCAGGCGGTGCCTGACCCCAGGGCCGAGGAAGCGGTCAGTGCATATTAAAGCCCACAGCCGCCTGGAGTGGAATGGGGTGCAGGGAGCCTCAGAGCCACAGCTGGGTGAGCATCTCCACCTGAGCCATCTCCTCCTTTGTAACGCACAGGTGAACTCCAGCCTCAGTTTCCTCCTGGACGGGCTGCCCAGCACCCAGCTCCCTCCTCCACCCAGCGTCTCGGGCCTTGCTTCAAGCCTAGGGCCCTCGAGCCAGCCTCCTGCCCTTGGCAGACATAGATCCCTCTGCTGTCCCAGGCCCTGCTTGGCCATGCCAGCCTCTCTGCCCCTAGGCCCTGTCCACAGCCCGCTGGACCCGGCTCACTGCAGACTTCTCCGGGCTCCGCCACGTGGAAAGACCACTGTTCTGACCACCAAAGGACACACCCCTCCTGGTTCTGGGAATCCTGTACACAGCAGCAGGGCCTGGTGACCTCGGGACAGCTGTGCTGGCCTGCAGGGAGGCCAAGCCCCTGGGAGAGCCGTCCGTCTGTCTCACCACAGCGAGGCTGGCCCCTGCTGGCTTCAGGATGAATGAACGGGGAGGGAGGGGAACAGGGACCCCAGCGGGGCAGCCTGGAATGTGCACCGCCTCCCGCAGGTCACCCAGTCCTGCCTGGTGGCTGCGGCTCACACGGTAGTTTTGTTTCACATGAATTCGTTGCCAAGGTCTAAAAACGGGGTGATTTCACTTAAACCCTGTATTTCGGGTTTCCCTGGAGTCAGGAAGGCTGGTGCTATGCTCAGGCTTCCAGAGGCCCCATCAACGGGAGCTGCAGTGTCACACACCAGTGGGCACAGCGGGCCTGGGACCCCCACGGGAGGGCAGTGCTCAGCGATCCAAGGCCCACACGGGGGCTGGAGGTGACTCGGCGTGTCCGGAGGAAGGAGCGGCCAGGGCAGCAGCACCGGGGACTCGGTGGCCTGGACTGTGATGCCTGTGTAATACACAGACAGAACCCCGCACCGCCAGCCCACAGGAAGGATGTGGCCACGTCCCATGGAGACAGGGTGGCTTTGTCCTTCTGTGCCCGTCGGCCCTGGCTGCCCCCATGGAAGAGTGAGTGGGCCACCTGCAGCCCGGCTGGGAAGGACAGGAAGCCAGGGACAGTGGGGAGGGCGTCCAGGCCAGCCAGGGCTGTGCTTGTGATGCTTGGCGCCGGGGCAGGGCATCAGGCTGTGACGATTACCCCTGTGGCCACAGGGCCTTTGCAGAGGATGTGGACCAGTGTCAGGGTGCAGGCCAGGATAGCCCTGCGGCCACATCAGACAGGGTCACCCAGGCCAAGGCTCGTCCCCTCTCGGAGCCACCACACACAATAGCTAAAATTAAGCCAGCGTGGCCACCCCAGTGCTGATACCCAGGCAGCCCGGCTCCCAGCAGCCGCTGCCCACCCCATGCCAGGACAGCTGACAGTGGATGTGGGACCTTCCCAGGTGCTGGGTGTGGACAGGGGAGGCGAGCTGGGCTCCCCCATACTCCAGCCTTCCCTCTGCCTCTGGACTAGGCACTGCCTCTGCGTCCACAGAGGGTGGCAGCAGGGCTGGGCGCACCCTGAGTGGCCAGGGGCCCAGGGGGCAGCGTGATGGTGGAGCGTTCTAGCACAAGCTCTGCCTTGGGAGGCCCACCGAGCTCAGGACTGAAATCCTGCTGCTCTTCCGGGATGTGAAGCCTGGTCTAGAGATGCAGAAGTCTCGCACCCGAAGCACCGTCTGCCCAAATGCCAGCCTTCGTGGCACAAGGGGGCCGGCACCTGCCCTGCTGCCCTGCAGCCCGGAGCCATCTGGGCTAGAAGCCACACCCTCCCCGCACCCCCTCCCCATCCTGGGACAATGCCACCCCCACTTATCTCCCTCCTGTTAAGAGATCTCAAATTCGAACCCCGATAAGGTGGGACCAATTCCTGCTCTGCCCTGCAAAGCTGGCCCTGACTCTGCCCAAGTAATTAAGATAAATGCGGTGATAAGGCCAGTTTTGCTCTTAAACGTGCCCTGGGGCCGCGTCTCGGATGTAACTTTACCTGCAGGGGTTTATCGGAGGCCCAGCTCGCTTGGGTATCGGGGTTTTTAAGAAAGCGGCAGCGTTTGAAGCGAGAGGCCATTTGTGGCATGAATATGGGGAGCAGACCAAGCACACATAGCGGCTGCTATGTGGCCAGGACAAGCACTGGGCAGCAGTGATGCCCAGGCCGGGCCCATCAGGGCCGGGGCCCAGCTCATCAAAGTGTGGAGAGGCACTGCCTGCCTCAGCCTCCCCCAGCCAGGACCGCCCAGTGCAGGTCATTGGACTGGGGGCCGGGAAGGCAGGGGACTGACAGGGTGGGTCGGGGCAGCACCCCAGACAGTCCGCACATGGCTCTGAGTCTGTTTCCCCATCTTGGGTCCCAACTGGCAGCCAGGTCATGGCTGGGTGGCCAGGGAAGTGTGGCCTGGAGCCCACAGACGTGTGTGTGCGGTGTCCCTGGTCCTCTGCAGTGCCTCGGGGCACCCGCAGCATGGCATCTGGGACCCTCAGCAAGGCCAGGGCATGGTACCCCCAAACCCCTACCCACCCCATCACACCCGCCAGGCAGGGGGAGCAACAGGGACCCAAACCCACCTCCCCTCGGACAAAGCCTGGGCCCAGACCCTGCCTGCTTCCGCATCCTCTTCCGGCCATAACTGTGGGGCTGGACCCTGTGGGAGGCCACACAGCCGTGCCCACCACGGGCCTTGTCCTGCCTGCCCAGGACTCTGTGATGGCCCTAGCTGAGGGTCCCACAGAAGGCTCAAGCAGCTCCTGCAGGCCCAGAGGAGGGGACAGCTGGAGGCCAGGGAGACCCCCGCAGAGCAGTGCTGGCCAGCCAGGTGGTGAGGAGGCCCGGCTGCAGGCACAGCCGCCCCGCTGGCTGGCCCACTTGCACTGGTCTTGAGTTACCAGTGCCCACAGCCACCCAAGGGCTGGCTACTCTTATGGAGAGAGAAGGAACCACTCCTGCTCCCCCGGGGCAGCCCTGGGTCTGGGGGATTGGATCTCCCCACTTCAAAGGACTCCGGCTGCTGGAACCCACACTGACCCCGCAGCAGGCACCAAGGGGCTTTGCCAAGCTCTGAGGCGGGGCCAGACTTGAGACCAGGCCGAATGTGGTCCCCACGCTGCCGCCTTGGGCCCTGCACTCCTCCATGGGGTGCCCACGGTACAGCAGACCAAAGGCGGGCTTGCACCGGACTTAGTACCCAGGGGTCCGGAGCAGCCAGGGTGGGCCCCAGGAGTGACCTGTCTCTGTGAGGGACAGGCTGAGGGCACAGGCAGTTCAGCTCTGCACGTTGATCAAGTCACAGCCTTCTCTGAGCCTCCTCTACCCGCTGGCTCGTGGCTGAATGCGGTGAGCTGAAGGCAATGGGGCACTTGCACAAATGCCCTGGGCCCAGCACCACGGCTGGCACATGTGGGAGCCGCTTGGCCATGCCGTGAGCTCTCTGGGAAGGGCAGTGCCTGGGCTGCTGTTTCCGAGTGGGCAGGGGCTGCTGTGCCCCTGGGGGCCGGGCAGGGTGGTGACCACTCAGCACAGTCCAGGCCCCATAGACAGCAAAGTGGCCAAGTCTGCAGGGCCCAGGCCTCTCTGCCCCCAGCCCGACACCCACCGGCCAGGGCAGCTCAGCCTGGCCACTCTCGAAGTGCAGCTTGGGGCCAGCATGAGCTGGGCCTCTCCACACAGCCAGTGCCCACACCCACGCCAGCCGGGTGCAGTGCTCCTGGTTTCTCTGGCGTGGGTGGGCTCAAGGCAGGGACAGCAGCCTGTTCCCAGGGTGCCCAGGCAAACCCCAGGTCCACAGCCAGGCAGAGCAGAGTGCAGAGTGACGGAGAAACAGGAGGGGCGGCCTGGCAGAAGGCTCGGGGTCCCTAGAGCTGGGAATGTGGGGAGACACAGAGCCTCAGCCCCTCCCAACGCGTGAACCCGAGAGGCACTCCTGGGCCCTGGCGGAGGCCAGGACCCCCATCCTCACTTACCATCCTCTTTCTTCACAGGCACGCGGCCCCGTCTCTGGGCAGTCCTACAGCGACCCTGCTGAGGCCCTGGCGCCCCAGGTACGTGGGAAGAGACACCTGGCCCACGTGCAGCCTCCATGGGCAGAGATGGCCCCATCCCCGAGGCTCCTGTCAAAGCGGCCAGCTGTGTCCCTGAGCCCCTGATGCCCCCGCCCTGAGGGCGCCTTTGGCTGTTGATGCTGAGGTGCCCCCTCCTCCTACCCACCCACCTGGGCAAAGGCTCCTGGCTCTGGGGGATTGTCACCCAAGAAAGGGGCCTTCGCCCACAGCCTGGCCTGAGTAGATGTCTAGAGCCCGGGGGACATGGGCGGTACAGGGAGCCCCTCAGGGATGACCCATCCCTTCCACCAGAAGGCCTTGGGGAGGTGCCTCCCAATGGCCTCCCTACCCACAGACCTGGGGGCAGCGACCACCCTGCCTGCCCAGGCCACCATGGGGATGAGGGAGCCCACACCAGTGCTTGAAGCCCAGGCTGCCTTCGCAGGGCCAGGGCCTCCATCAACCCTTCAGGTTGCACGTGCGTGCTAGGCGGGGAGAGAGGCCAACCTCGGGCTGGCCTGGGGGAGGGGAGGGGCACCCTCACCGGGCATCCCTGGACCACTGCAGTGAGGAGCCCTCTGCTAGGCACACCAGGACTTCGCCCACCAGGACTTAGGGCCCAACATGGCAGGACACCCCTCCTGGGTGGGCACCAGGGGCTGACCCCTTCCGGAGCCCAGTCTCCAGGCAGGTGCCCAGGCACAGCCCAGCTCTTGGTGGCCCTTGGTCTCCCTGGTAGCTCAGTGCCTTGGGCTGCTGATGCGTGGCCTCAGCAAGCCACAGCATCTCTCAGAGCCTAGCACTCACCTGCATCAGCCTCCTAGGACTGGGCTCTGTGGCCTAGCTCAGTCCACACACAAAGGACACAGGTAGCAAGAACACGGGAGACTGGGGTGTGTCCAGGTCCTGGGGAAGAGGGGGGACTCGTGACGGGAGATCCAGGAGTGTGCCCAGAGAGCTGCTGAGGGGATGGAAGGCACACAGCCAGGGCCTGTCCTCAGCCCCTGGGCAGGGCTCTCCAGGAGGCCCAGGCCAGGATCACAGGGATGGGACCAGAGCCCGCCCAGAGGCCCCCAAAAGTGCCAGCGGTCTCTTGAGGCTGGGGGCTCCCCACAGAGGAGGACCCGAGGCCGCCCTGTGTGACCCAAGGCTGAGCAGCACTGATGGGTTCCTGCTCAGGGCTGTGGCCAGCATAGTCCCCGTCCTGCGCAGGGGTGGCATCTGGGAAGCCTGTCCCCCTGCACCCCCTTCCCCCCCCCCCCAGCAGTGCAGTCTCTGTGTCCCCGAGCACATCAGCCAGGGCCCTTCCCTGGGCACCAAGGCTTCTGTGACCGCCACACCAGGAGCCTGGCAGGTTCTGCCCCGTCACTGCAGCCCCGCCAGCCCCCTCACTCCACCCTTCCCTTGCAGGCTCCACCCGGGACCATGAGCACAGGCCTCCCTGGGGCCCCCCAAGGGGTGAGGATGGCCGCCCAGCCCACACCCTATGGCCTTCCTCGGACTGCCGCCTCCTAGCGTCCAGGACCTGGGGCCATGCCGGGCGAGCGGCCCCACGGAGCACCGCCCCCTGCCACCACCAGAGACCTGCATCCCTGCCACGGTGCAGGGGGCTTGCAGCACCTGTCCCAGGCGCCCCCCAAGGACCAACCCCCCAGCAGCGGGACGGCCCGGGCCACGAAGGAGGCAGGTAGCAGAGCCCTGACCAGGGACCCACCTGGGACCCAGCCAGGGCAGACCCAGGCAGTGACGCCCCAGGCCACACTCCTGCAGCCCCACCACCTTCATGGCCCCTCGGGGAAGGGGGGTGGCCCCCACACCCCACCTGTGAAAAGCCACCCAGGGGCGCAAGTGTGGCTGGCAAGCAAGGTGGACAGCAGCTCCCCACAGCTCTATGGCCTGAACATCATCAGCCCAAAGGCCAAGCCCACCCTGGACGAGGCCCTCGAGGGCTGGCCACTCGAAGCCCCCCAGGACTCCCAGGCAGAAGCCTGCCACAGGCCCAGCCGCCCTGGGGCCGAGGCCCTGCCCACCCCCGAAGAGCTCCACTCACAAAGGTGCTTCCAGGAGGACCCCTCCAGCTTTACCTCCAGCAACTATACCTCACCGAGTGCCACCCCAGGACCCCCTCGGGCCCTGCCGAGCAACGGTGCCAGCCCCCCATCACTGGCCACTCTGCCGGAGCTCCAGGCCAGCAGGGCCAGCTCCTGGCCTCCTGCTGCTGAGGACAACTTCCCAGGTGCTAATTTCAGGGTCTCCCCCACCGAGTCGGAGCCCTTTTGTGAGGGCAGCAGGCCCGGAAGCCCCAGGGGGAGCCCCTTCCCATGCCCGCTCCAGGCACGGGCACCCCGTGAGGATGCAGCTGGGCAGGGCTATGCCCATGGAACACTGGCCTTCTCCTTCCACCAGCCCCCAGGGAGGTGGCCAGAGGTGGCCATGGGCACTAACCCTGCCTACCCACTGCCCCCCACACCCTTGCCCCAGCCCTGTTACCCTGGCCAGCTGGGCAGCGTAGAGTCTGCTGGCAACCACAGCCAGGCCCTCTCCCCCTCTGGTGCTGTTCCCCGGGCCCCAAGGCCCTTCCCCGACAGTTTGCACAAAAACCTAACTGAAGTCCTCCCTGAGAGACCCCCTGCAGGCCATGAGGGGCTGGGGAGTCCCAGGGTACCCCCAAACCCTGGGTCCCAGAGACACTTTGCAGGACAGGCGTATGGAGGGAGTAAGGTGGGCAGCAGCCCAGGGCCTGGGGACACCGAGCTGGCCGCCCCCGGAGTCCTGCCTGCAAGGCTGCCCCAGCTTTGGGACTCCACAGCAGCCCCCTACCCTGAGCACCCCCCACCCACCTCTAGCGCCCCATTCTTTGACAACCCTGGCCAGCGGCTCTGCCTCCCCCAGAGTCCCACAGTGCCCTGGTCCTCCATACTCCCCAGCCCCAGCCCAAGCCCCCACCAGATGGAGGTGCTGAGCCAGCTGCCAGTCCCCAGGGGCGCTGCTGAGTGGCAGGAGGGCAGCCAGGGAGCGCTGGGTGTTGCCGGCCAGGCCCCTGGGCCTGGGGAGACACTGGCAGCCCTGAGAACAAGCCCAGGCCAGCCGGGTAGCTCCCCAGGGCTATTCCCCTACAGTGGGCTGAAGGACCCTGCAGCCCAGGCCCTGTTCTTTGGGGGTACCCAGCCCCAGGCATCACCCCGAGGAGCCCCAGGCCTGCCCCCACCCAGAGTGGTGGGGGTCTCTCCCAGCGAGTCCCCACTGCCCTCCCCTGCCACCAACACAGCGGGCAGCAGCACGTGCTCCTCTCTGTCTCCCCTGTCCAGCAGCCCGGCCAACCCCAGCTCTGAGGACAGCCAGCTGCCTGTACCCCTGGGGCCCTTGGGCTTCTTCCTCCCGGCCCCTCAGCCTCAGGACACCGGAAGCCCCTTCCAGTCCCCAGAGCCCTGTAACACTGTCCCTGCCCACTTTCCACTCCCCTCCGAAGGGCTGGGGCCCGAGGGTGCCCTCGAGTTCCGGGGCAGTGAGGGCCACAGGGCAGGCAAGGATGGGCTGCGGGGCTTAACCCGGGGCCCAGCTGCCTATGCTGCCCACCACTTTCCGCTGAGCAGCGCCAGCCTGGACCAGCTGGACGTGCTGCTGACCTGCAGGCAATGCGACCGCAACTACAGCAGCCTGGCCGCCTTCCTCGAGCACCGGCAGTTCTGTGGCCTGATGCTGGCCCGGCACAGACCCCAGGGGCTCCCCGCTGCCCTCAAGGTGCCAGCACCCACGCACCCAGGCTTGCTGGGCCACAGCCAGACCATCCCCTTCCTGCTGGCTGGGGACATGCAGACAGACGGCAAAGATGACGCCCTGCGGACAAGCTTCCTGCCTGGCCTGGCCACCCCGCCCTTCCCTCTGCCCGCCTCTGATTTAGACTTGGAGGACAATGCCAAGCTGGACAGCCTCATCACCGAGGCCCTCAATGGCATGCAGGACCCGTCGGACAGCCCCGAGATCGACAGCAGCTTCATCGACGTCTTCACCGACGAGGACCCTCCTGGCCTCAGGGGCCCTGGCACTGGGCAGCCCCCTAGCACCCGGGCGAGTGCCACCCCAGAGCATTCTACCCAGCCCCTGCCTCTGGTCGGAGGGCCCACACCGAAGTCCAGAGCCCCCTGCCCTGGAGACAGGGCCTGCGCAGCCCAGAGTGAGCCCAACACCCCCTCCCTGGGCCCAGCGCCCAAGGAGGCAGCTGTGCCCAGCCCAGGGAGGCAGCCTCGGAGAGGGAAGCAGCTCCGGTTGTTCTGGAAAGAGCTCGATGCAGCCCACGGCGCCAAGGGACCCAGCAGGACACCTGGCCCGAGGCCCAGGAGACGAGGACGCAGCACCCATCAGCCCCCACCCTACCCCCAGGACCTCCTCCCCTCTGCAGAGACCAGGAGTGCCAAGCGCTTGAGACTGCCCCCCAGGAGGGACCCCAAGAAGCGGAGGGCGCGGCGGGGTGGCAGCTGGAGCAAGGAGCTCATCCACAAGATCGTGCTGCAGAAGAACAAGCTGCACCGGGCGCAGGTGCCCTCAAGGGCCCCACAAGGCAGGCTGGGGGACAACGACCAGGCCTCCGAGTCGGAGGAGGAGGGGCCGGGGCCCAGGGGTCCTGGCCTCAGAGGCCGCTCCCACCGTGGCCGCAGGCAGCGGCGCCTGAGCAGGAAGATGAAGGAGGCGGACCTGGGCCGAGGCCCCAGCAAGGTGGGGAGGCCAGGACCGGGGGAGCAGAAGGGGTCCCCAACCCCAGGGCAGCCATACAGCCCAGACGGAGACCCCAAGTGGACTGGTCACCCCACAGGAGCTGCCAAGGACACTGCGACCCTAGAGGAAAGTCAGCCGTCCCCTGGCCTCCACCAGGCAGCCCAGATGCCAGAAGCTGCGGAAGACTTGCTGCCTGATCCCACAAAACTCAGAGAGGTTCCCACCTGGGAGAGAGGATGCCCCAGGCCCCACACTGCAGAGCACCCACGGCTGGGCAGAGGTGACACCAGCAGACCTCGACCCTCAGGGAGCCACCCCAACGTTCCACCCAGCAGCAAAGTGCCGAGGCCAGGAGACAGTGCTCTGCAGGGCACCCCTAGCTGCACAGAGTCCCCCAAACCCCGTGACCAAGAAGACACCCCTGCTCATCAGCCTAGAGACTCCCAAACGTCGGCTTCTAAGCCCAGCAGAGTGGCCGATCCCGAACCTGGCAGCCCATTTAAGAGCTCTGATCTTGGCTACAATCCTGCTCACATCAGCCGAGATGCTGTGGGGGTTCCTGCTGCCGGAAAGGGGCCCCAGCCCCCCAGCATTGGCTCCACTGAACTGTCCCTCGGGCCCAAGGACCTAGCTGTGGACACTCTGCCGGCCAGTAGCTCCTACCTTGGCCAGGACCACGTGAACCCCCTGGAGCCCAAACTGCCAAAGAACACACCCTACAGCCCAGCCCAGTCACCGCTGACCTTGGAGTCCACAAGCTTCTTTGCCGGGCTGCCTGAGGACCGCTTCGACCCGCCACTCTACGACGCAGTGTCCCCACACAAGGCCACACTAGTGCCGCTGGCCTGTGCCGACCCTCTCCCGAGGAAACCTCCAATAGAGCCACTGTTCCCCCCACTCCTGCTGCTGGATGAAGTGTCCCCGGTGCTGCCCAGCCCATTTCCTGACCTCTCAGGGCCAAAGCCATTCCATAAGAGATGTCCCCGTGAAGACGTGGCTGCCCCCAGCCCTGCACCCGGGTCTGGGAAGAGAAACGAATACAACGCAGCTTTCATGACCAACCTGTCGGAGGATGAGCTGGAGATCAAAAGATTGGTCTCTGAATTAGAAAGCCAGCTGCAAAGGCGAGAGGGCACCCCAGGAGCCCCCGAGGAGCCTGGTGAAGCCGTGCACGCAGCCTCCCCGATGCCAGCCTGCCAGGCCGTCCCACTCTGCAATGATGAGGCCCACCTTACAGGTCCTGGGGAACGCGGGCCACATCAGGAAGGCGTGAGAACAGCCATGTCTCCCACAAAAGGGGTGCTCAACCTGGGGGAGCAGCCCTCAGCCACACACAACCCAGGAAAAGCAGCCCCACTCCCCGGCTGCCGCAAAGACCTGGCTTCGGGGGCTCCTTTGGGGACCAAGGGTTACAGCCTCAGAATTCTGTCAGCACAGGAAAGCAGAAACTGCAAGACGGAAGCAGACAGCAGGCCGCCCCTGGACGTGGGTCTGCCTGAGCCCCTCGAGCACCCGGAGGACCCCCTGGAGCCCAGGGGTTCAGCAAGGCATGGCCCTGGCCGTGACCTTTTATCTTCTGCAAGTGTCAAGTCAACCAGGACACAGGAGAGCAAGGGCTCCCCACTTCTGCCGCCTCCTGAGTCCCACGGGTGCCTGGCCACCCCAGCACCTGATCAGGGGTTGCAGGACAGAGGAGATTCATCTCTGGATGCCACCCCAGCCCCAGATGATGGCCACAGCAATGCTTCCAAGGGACCAACTCCTGGGAGACCTGGGCGCCCTGGAGCCCTGGCAGAGGGAGCTGCCTTCCAGGACCCAGAGGGTCCGTCCCACCCAGGACCCCGTCCTGGCCCAGCCCCCAGCCCCTCACATCCATTCCAGGTCTTGGGGGCCAGAGCTGACAGCAAGAGTGGTGTCCAGGTCTCACATGAGTCTCCACCTGCCAGTACCCACCGCCCTCGGCATGGAGGCCCCCCAGGTCCAGGAGGAGACACAGTGACAGGTGGCTCCCCTGGGGGTGTGCAGGACACAGCCACCTGCACAGTGCCTGAGGAAGACAGACCGCTGGGCTCCCCTGGCCAGGCCGAAAAGCCTAAAGCCCAAGGCAAAGCCCGCCAACACCTACCTGAAGCCTGGAGGAGCCCGGGAGCACCAGGCAACAGTGCCAAGGCCAGAGCCCTCCCCAGAGCACCCAGGTCGGCTGGGGCCAAAGCCAGGCTCCAGGGAGGCAGTATGGCCTTAAGCCTTCAACAGCGGATGCAGCCAGCCACTAGCCCTCGGCACCCTTCAGAAACAGCAGCCTACACCCAACAGGGGTATAAGGATAGGCTCCCTGGGGAGGCGGCCAGCCTCACCCCTGCCCCCAGTAGCCTGGAGCACACACCCCAGGAAGCCCTTCCCTCTGTGTCTTCAGGAGGGGCCAGTTGGGTCCAGAGCTCTGCAGGGGCCGAGGCAGGGAGGTTTCCCGAAACTCCCCCATCTTTGATGACAAGCCTCTGTGGCCCCGAGGCTGTCCCACCTCCCACACTTCCAGGGGCCAGCAGCCCCAAAGACTGGCCAGACCTCAGCCACATCCCAGCCCACACCCCCACCCAGAGCCAGGACAGCCCCGGCAGCAGCACATCAGGAACCCTAGAGGATTTCAGAGGAGGGCCGGGGGGCTCCCCAGCCCAGGCCACCCACCCTCGCCCAGGAGTACCCATGGCCGGCAGGAGGCACAGTGCAGAGACAGTCCCTACCGACCCTGCCACAGAGGCAGGCAGGGCGCTCGGCATGCCGGACCCCACCTCCCATCCTCTCTGCCCCACCCTCTTCCTTGGCCACAGCATCAGGGCCACACCTACAGACCCCACTTCACTGGGGTCCACACAGCCAGGTCCCTACCCTTGTGTGGAACAGGAAGTGGGGGCTGTCAGCCAGGGACGGGAGGATGCAGGGACATCTGATGTGCCCCAGGGGCCCAGAGCCAGCAATCGGGCCCTGGCTGCATCCTGCTCTCCTGGAGCTGCCTCTCCCAGAAACACGGCTGGTGACTTCGGGTCCAAATCCCCCCAACACCACATCGGGGTCCCTCGCCAGACACCCCCAGGCTCCAAACAGAAGCCCCATGGCTGTAAGAAGAAGCCTGAGCCCACAGAGAAAAGGAAGAGCCAAGCCCTGCCCAGGCCGCCGGTCCCCTGCGTGACCTGCGAGATGTGCTCAGCCTCCTTCCGCTCGGGGCCAGGCCTGAGCCGGCACAAAGCCAGGAAGCACCGACCACTCGTAGGCGCTGCCCCAGGGTGCGAGGCGCTCGACAAGAAGAGCCGCAGGGCACCTGGCAAGGAGAAACCAAGTCACGCTGTGATGCAGCCCAACCACCCTGCGGGGCCACCTCCCCGGCAGGGCTCCACAGCCCCTGAGGGCCGCTCGGGTCCTGAGACAGAGCAGGGGGCCGAAAGGGGCCCCAGGGCGCCAGGCTGTCCCCTTAACCAGCAACCACATCCCCCAAAGCCCAGCCCAGCCCAGCCCGAGGTGAACAATCTCCACCCCAGACAGACAGAAAGAAGAGAAGGGCCAAGGCGAAGCCGAGGGCCCAGGGACTCCCCTAGCACCATGGCCCCAAAACCGCAGAACGTGGGAAAGGGTCGAGCCAGGAGGCCCCGGGGGGAGCATGGGACTGCAGCCTGGTGCCACTCCAAGCCAGCAGCCCCCAACTGCACACCAGAGGACCAGCAGGGGGCAGACAGAGAGCCTGGGCCCCTAGAGGACAGCACAGACCATCCTGACCTGCAGGTGCTGTGCACAGTGGACACTGCAGCCCAGAAGTCCCCCAGTGGTGGGAGGAGCCCCCCAGGGAGAGCAGAGGGGGTGTCCCCTGGGGAACACCCCGAGGGGTGGAAAGGAGCCCTGACAAGGGGCCTCTGGGGAGCCGCAGTGGCCAGGACATCACACAAGGACCCATCTCCCGAGTCTGTAGGGGAGACTGCAGAGGACTGTGGAGGGCCCCAGGGCGAGCCCAGCAGCGGTGTTAGGGCAGGGACACTTGTTCTTCCTGTGGCGTCCAGTTCTGACACTGACAGCACTGTCCGCAGTGACATGCCGGGCTTCCTGGACACCCCAGAAACCCTGAGTGCGGCTCCTGAAGCCCCCAGCCCAGGCTGTGGGCACTCTGCGAGCCTGCTTGACGACGACGTGTCCTTTGCCCAGCTCTTCCCTCCAGGCGGCCGCTTCGCTCGGAAGAAGAACCCGCGCATCTACGGGAAGCGCTGCAGGAGGCCACAGTGCCGGCCGCCCACTGAGCCACTCAGCCAGGCCAGGAGTGACCTGCCGTCCTCAGCCTGGCTGCCCACGGATCTCAGTGACTCGGGCTCCCTCTGCCTCTCCTGTGAGGACCTGTGGGATAACGAGCCCATGGATCTGCCTGAGCCCTGGCTGCTGGATGGGGCACTGAGCAGCAGCCCCCCATGCCTCGACCTCTGGGCCCCAGAGCCCAGCAGGGAAGCCGACTGTGTGGGCGAGGCACCGAGCTGCGGTGCCAGCGATGACCAGGCAGAGACCATCCCGGAGCTGCACAGGGTCCCGCGGTCTTGGAGAGACCTGGGGGTGCCCCCACAAGAGCCACTCTCCGGTCCCGGAGATGTGAGCCCGGAGCCCCCCAACCTAGAAAGAGAGGGCTATGAGGAGGGGCCGCCCGGGAACACCGAGGACTTGGAAATGGCAGGGACTACGCTGGAGACGCAGGGCCTGTGCTTCCCGGGACCCCGTGAGGACCTGACCTGCGTCGCCAGCACCAGTGCCTTGAACCTCCAGGAGGAGGCAGACCGGCCCAGCCAGGCCCTCGGCAAAGAGCGGCCGGCTCCGAGCAGGAAGGGCTCCTTCAAGTGCCGCGTGTGCTTCCGGCGTTTCCACGGGCTGGGCGAGCTCGACCTGCACCGCCTGGCTCACAGCGCCACACCGCCGCCCACCTGCTACATGTGCGTGGAGCGCAGGTTCGGCTCGCGCCAGCTGCTGCGCGAGCACCTGCAGGAGAAGCACGTGCAGGGCCAGGCGGGGCCGTGGGCCTGCGGCATGTGCCTCAAGGAGGTGGCCGACGTCTGGATGTACAACCAGCACCTGCGCGAGCACGCTGCCCTCTTCGCGCGCAGGGGCCAGGTTCGGCGGGCCCGGAGTGAGCTGCCCGCGGGCTCCGGGGATGAGGGCGCATCGGCGGAGCGAGCCACTGCCCAGCGCGGGGCAAGCGCGGCGGGCAGGAGGGCTGAGGAGGCGGCGCTGATGGACGGGGCCGGGCTTGCCTCCCCTGAGAGCCCCCACGACGCCTCGACGCCTCCCAGCCTGCCCGGCGGCGACGGCCCCGCCACCCCCAGCCCGTGTCCGGGGCCCCGCCCCCACAGCGAGGCCCCGCTCGGCGCCAGCCCGGTGCACGCGGACTGCAAGGACCCGTCCCGCGACTGCCACCACTGCGGGAAGCGCTTCCCCAAACCCTTCAAGCTGCAACGCCATCTGGCGGTGCACAGCCCGCAGCGCGTCTACCTGTGCCCGCGCTGCCCCCGCGTCTACGCCGCGCACCGCGAGCTGCGCGCACACCTGGGCGGCGCGCACGGGGCGAGGCCCGAGGCGCGCGAGGTGGCCCCCACGCCGCTGTTCGCCTGCGAGCGCTGCGCCGACGTCGCGCGCGTCACCCGCAGGGCCTTCGCCTGCAGCGCGTGCAATTACACCTTCGCGCGCCGAGAGCAGCTGGACAGGCACCGCGAGAAGCACCGGCGCGCCTGTCCAAGGCCCTGCGCGCTCCGCGGTGTGCGGCGGCCCAGGGCGCCCCAGGGCGCGCTGCCCCCCAAACGGCGCAGGGTGGCGGGCCCTGGTGCGGACGGACCAGTGTCCCCAGGCAGCCCTGCCCTGCCCCGACTCTGCCTACAGGCGGCCCCTGGTGCCGCTTCCTCCCCGGAGAGGCTGGAGGACACTGCGGAGCGCCCAGATGCATCCACGGCCAGCGCAGACCTTCCACCCCCGGCTCTGTCTCCCCTCCCCGATGCCCAGGTTGAATGCAGAGAGGACCGAGAGCCAGACCGAGCCATGACAAGGCCAGAGGACGAGGCCTCCGTGGACAGCCCTGGGTCTCAGAGACACCAGGCTCCCCCTGTCTCAGGGAAACGCGGAACTCCAGGGGGTCGTGGCAGGTACTCCCGCCACAGCTCCCCAGGAGAGCCCTCCCTGCTCCCCAAAGAGAAGCAGGTGTCATCCTGCCACGTGGTGCCTGATAGGGGCACAGCTGGGCCCTCCCATGAGGGCGATGCCCCCAAACTGAGGATTTGCCAGAGTGCATCAAAGCTGAGGCCTGTGGCAACCACCCCTGGCAGGACACTCAAGCTACCAGGACAGCCAAGGAAGCCCACAGAGACGGGGAGTCCTGCTCCTGGAGAGCTGGCTCCTGGCCCTGAAAACAGGATGAAGCCTGCCATCTCCAAAACCAGGCTGAGGCCCAGCTCCCAGGGTGGTGGGGGAGCATGCCCTGGCACCAAGACTGCAGGGGGCAGCCAGCCCCAGCTGGCCAGCGGGCGGCTACAGAGTGAGACAGCCACTACCCCAGCCAAGCCCAATGGCCCCAGCCAGAGCCCCGCACCACACTCGCCCCCACCTCGTGCCCAGGCCAAGGGCAGCCCCAAGGGGACGCAGGGGTGCTCAGGTCCCCAGGAAAAGGCAGAAGGCGGCGAGAAGAGGCGGAAGGGACCAGGCCCAGCAAAGCGGGACAGCACAGGGAGCTCGGGCAGAGCTCCCCCAACCCCTGACAGGCCTCCCCGGGCGCCCCGGAAGCAGGCTACCCCTAGCCGGGTGCTCCCTACCAAGCCCAGACTCAGCAGTCAGATCGGCAAGACCCGGCCACCACCCTGGGAGACTCGGAAGGGTGAACCTGGCCCAGGCCACCGGAGGGAGGTGCTGGGCAAGGCCTTCCCCCAGGCGAGGAAGGGCAGGTCCGTCTCCAGCACCAGGCCCACCGAACTCCGAGACCACCGGACCGCTGAGTCCCAAAGTGACCTCCTCAGCCAGCTCTTTGGGCAGAGACTGACCAGCTTCAAGATCCCGCTAAAGAAGGACACTTCTGAGTGACACATGAGCAGCACCCAGCGCAAAACCAGGGCCCAGCGAGGCTCCTGGTGGTGGCTGCTCAGCACCCAAGGTGGCGCACTTTCGGGGAACTGCCTGCCTCAGTCCCGATGCTCAAACCAGTTGGCGAAGGCCCTTCTCTCGCTCTAAGGCTGAAGTGAGGGATAGGCCAACTGCGGCCCCTTGGGAGCACACAACTGTTGCCCGGGTACTAAGTCCTTGAAAGAGCCCCGGGTGCTGCCCCCGGCTGTGGGGGGGTCGGCTCGGCGGTGCGGGCTGCAGGCCTCAGCTGAAGATTCGCACAGAGCCCCCGTCAACACCAGGAAGGGGAGTCTGGGCAGCTGACCCGATGGCGGCCTTCCCTCTTAGTCCCGCTGCTGCTGGAATTCCAAAGTGCCTTTCAGAATCACACGGTGGGGGACAGCACTCTCCACATGGGCCACTTCTGAGCCACCTGATCCCAAGAGCACACAGCCCTCTGCCCCTGACCACGGGATCACGCCTGCCACTGACCACACTGCGGATGCTTCCGGGGCACCTGGCTCCCCAGGGAACATGGAGAGGCCTGCTCCCCTCGGGGCCCTCTCTAGAGCCCTCCTCCCCGCAGCCCCGGGCCGTGTGTGTCCCCAGTTCTGGTGCTATTTTCATGTTGTAATGTGAATACTGTGTTTTCCTGTAACGGGATGGGGCGGGGAGATGGCGTCCGGGAGATGAGGAGGCTGCAGCTGGGGCACGGAGGTGACGACTCGGAACTTCCCACGGGCTCTGCTCTGCAGACGGGACCTGCCAGCTCGCCACGTCCTGGCCCAGCACCCCACCAGGAAGGGCAGACAGGAGGGCTCACGATGCTCTGCGATTTTCGGGGAATCTCAGATTCACAGTTTATTTTGTTCTGGTTTTAGTTTTTAACGTGGGTGCAATGTGTACATCAAAGGTTTCATTTTGCCGTTTTGAAAGACACCGAGTCAGGTCCAGACTGCCCCTGTACAAGGTGCTGGGCCCTCCCATGCTGACTAGGACAGGAAGGGGGCCTCGGGCCGCGCTGTAAAGATCGAAGCCAGCTCATCTTTCTGAATATATTCCCACTATTTTCGCACAAAGCCCTGGCTCTGTGGCCTCTGTCCATGTACCTGCTGCTCCCCGGAGTCCCAGACCGTGATCCAGAGCACGTCTGCCTCTGTTGTCCCTCTCTTCCTGGGGCCACTGTGTATCACATGCTGGAGCAGGGCTGTGGGGACACACGGGACCTGGGCACACGGGCACAGGGTGGGCTGGACGCTTGGTGAGACCCCACTCTGCCTCCCGTTTACAGGTAGGACAGAAGCCTGGGCAGAACAGGGTCCTGATGGCCACACAGGACACCACCATACACTGACGTGCTGGCAGTGGAGGACATGGCAGGGACGTCCCTGCAGTCCCCACTCTGTTTCCAGAACTTCTGGCCCTGGGTTGGAACCCTGGGGTGGCAGTGGAGGAGAAGAGCTTCAGGAATGACCAGCAGGCCCTCTAGGCTCCAACCCTCGGCCACCCTGTCTTGAATGGCTCCAGAGACCCCAGGGTCAGGGACAAGTGGCCTCTCCAGCAGGGATGGCCAGAGCAGACCTGCTGCCCTTTCCACCCTGGCACATGTGCTGAGGACGGGCGCCCACAGCCCCAGCCTCCTTCCCTTCCTCAGGAGACCACAGGGCCATGGCCTCCAGGTCAGCCCCAGCATGGCCTGTCTCCTGAGACGCACTGCCTCCCCCCCACCAGCCTTAAATCCTGCAGTTTTCTGAGCCAGCCACCCTCCACCCACTGCAGGCCTCAGCCACAGTCAGCAGTCTGCAGGCGTGAGTTCTGCCCACCAGGGGCCTCGTGCATGAGTTCGTGGCTGTCTGCTCCCCAGCCCAGACACACTGTGTTCTGTGTCACAGGGTGCATCTGGCGTGGTGACTGTGGCTCTGGTCTCCAGCTGGGGCCTTCTAGGAGGATATTAGGGGCCGGGGAGTAAAAGGGGAGCAGAAGGCCCAGGGGACTTGGAGGAGAGCCCGTGGGGCCCAGTCGGGCTGCTGATCCTCCAGCACTCCTGTCACATGTACCAGAGGACTGGTGTCCTGCCTCCCACCTCAGGAACTGCTCGGCATCACTGCTCCACACCACCGGGACCCTGCCTGGAGACAGACCCTGGACACCACCTGGACCCTGCCTGGGATGGTGAGCCTGCCCACTTCTGCCGGCCGGCAGACCTGTGCAGGATGGCAGGGCCTGGCCACCAGGTGGCAGCATCTGCATGGGCAGGGGAGCAGCCTCTGCCCACCATGGCCCAAACCTGCCTCAGCTTCCCCCCAGCAAGGCAGACTCACAGCCTGAGGGCTGCCGAGCCACCCACCCACACACAGTCCTGGGACCACGACAGACATGCAAGTCCCCTGTGCACATCAGGTACATGCACAGTGCCGGGTTGCACACACAGCCCCACACGCAGACCTGTACTCAGGTCACATGCGGACAGGTGCCCTCCCTCCAAATCTGCTGCCTCGTCCTGCCCCCAAAGGTCCAGCAGCTTCTGCAAAGGTCATGTCCTGCTGGAATCAAGGGGCAAGTCGCTGTCCACAAACTATACCTGCCCAGGTACCTGTCCTCAGCAGGCTTCTCTCCCATGCCAGAGTCTGAGGTCCCCCAAGCCAGCAGAGCTGGGCTGTCATGTCCCACGACGGCCAACCCCTCCCTGGAAGCTACAACAGGAGTGAAGCATCAGGTGGGCAGGCTTCGAGGGCACACAGCTTGGCTGGTGGCCACACCTGGGCTGGCAGTGTGACCCAAGGGGTCCCACTGGCTGGCTCAACTGAGACTTCTGCAGGTGGGGTGCATCCTCCCTGGGGAGCCAATACAGATGACCCCAGAGATTCTGCCACTGAACATCACTCCCTGGCAGGAAGAATCAGACGAGAAAGACCCAGGGAACAGTTTCAGGACAGCCGCGGGTGGCTTCCGGGGAGGTGCCATGTCCCTGTACCTGAGGTTGGAAGTCAGGGGTGCCCAAGTGTCCGCTCAAGGCCATAGGACCTGCATCTTTGGAGGCTGCAGCACACGGAGTCCTGCTGCCGTCCTGCCCACAGCTGTGTGCAGGCCATGGAGACCCACAGCAGCTCGCGGAGCCCTGCAGGCAGTGGGCAGAGGGAAGGACGGCGGTGCCGGCCTCGGGCCACAGTTCATCTTCAGGGTACGCGTGGGCAGACACGAGGCCATGGCTGCCCCTCCCGTCCCACAGTCCCAAGGCCACAACCCCTGCCTACAGGGCAGTGTCTCACTGACCTCCAGCTCAGCCGTGGGGGCAGCAGCTCAAGGCCACTGGCCTTCTGCCCTGGCAGGGCCAGGCAGATAGAGGAGGCAGCAGCTGCCCTTCCACAGCAAAGGTCTGGAGGAACAGATCGCACCTGGACCTGCACTGCCCCAGGACCCCAGGAGGACAGGTGCTTGTGGCTAGTGGCATGGGGCAGTCAGGCTAAGGGCCAGAGACCTCGGCCAGCTATTGTTCTGGCTGGGCCTCAGCTCTCCTCCACTCAGTGGCCCCTGGCTCAGCAGCCACAGTGCTCACAGCTCCTCCTGGCACTCAGTTCCAGTGGATCATGGTGACTTCCGGGAGGGGCTAGACTTCAGCCCCAGCCTCAGTTTCCCTTCTGTGAAAGGGTCTTGTAAGACTGCCGGGCACTGCTGAGGGACAGAAGGAGGTGGTATCCAGGAACCTCCAGCTCCGCACACTCATCACCCCCAGGACTGTTACCATCCTCCCCGCTCTGAGCCCGCTGCGGGGAGCTGCATGGGGGCCCACACCACTCCCCCAGCTCTGCCTGCAACCCCTAACTCCTCTGTCCCCAACACAGCCGGTGGTGTCACAAACCCCCAAAACAAGCAGTTTCTCAGGACTTTCCATGAATCTGTGTCCTGTGGGCCTGGTGGCACCAGCTGGGCCTGGCGTCCTCTCCACTAGCCTCAGGACCCAGTGGCTAACCCCAGCTCAGGAGTGGACACCAGGCTGGCTACATCCTACTGACCAGCCAGCCAAAGAACCCATGGGGGGGGGGGGACTCAGGCACTGCGCTTTATTTAAACCATCACAGCAGCCATCTTTGGCCATCTGCGTGGTATACCACCCCTTGCCAGGCACCCCAGGAGCCCCATCCTGGCTCAGTGTTGGCCTGGGCCCACTATCCCCATCAGGCCACCCCGCTGGGTGTCCCCTCTGTGGCATGGATGTGGAGCACAGGGTGGAGGTCACAGTCACGGACGCTGCTGCGCAGGAGGCCCGGAAAGGACATCACACAGCAGCTGTGGGCCAGGTGGTTCTGGTTCCGAGGTCCAGCCTGGCCCAGCCCTGCCCCCCAGAAGAACTGTGCGTCTCACTTCATCCCGGGGTCCTGTTCTGACCCGCTGTGCTCTGCCCCCAGACACTGGGTCTGCGGGACAGTCCACACTGGCCTCTGAGGTCGCCCGTCACAGGGACAGTCTCTTCCTGGCTAGAGAGGCTGGGAACAGGCCACCGTGTCACATCCGGGCGACTGCGTGCTTCCTCGTGGTCCCTGCCCAGCAGCACAGCAAGCAGGCATGCTTTCACCAGGGTGAGCTCCCTCCCGGGCACACGCCCGCCCGGCAGTCCCTCCAGCCTCTGCAGCCCAGGCCCGAGCTGGCTCCAAGCACCCTGCTGCTTTGGTCAGCCACCAGCTGTGCCCGGGCCGGGGTCCGCAGGGCCCTCTCTGGGGCTCTGCGCACTGGCCTCTCTTCCCTGCTGCTCCATCCTCCCCAAGTATGGGGGGCTGCAGCCCCAGCTCACAGGGAGAGGCTTCTGGGGCTCACAGCATCCAAGGTTCAGGGCGCAGCGCTGCGCGGCCTGATCCAGGGAGGGCAGTGGGTAGGGGTGCGTCTCCCACAGGAGCAGAGCCCCCAGCAGACGATCTCATCCCCTCCAGGACATGCCCCCACACCTGGCCCTCCCTTCACAGCGGCCTCTGGGGACCTCAGCGCCCACTTGAGCAGCAGCAGGGCTGACCCTTTCCCGCCTTCTCTGCTGCGCATGTGTGCCCAGGGTCCCCTGCCCAAACCCCTGCCAGGGCGCAGGACCACAACAGGCTGTGTGCCGCCTGTGGGCAGGAGGAGAATGCAGCCCCCACCGAGCCCCGAGGTCAGGACCTGTCTGGCGTCCTTCCTGTCTGTGGGGCACCACCCTGCTGGCCGGGAGAAGGGACCCAGGTTGTGCCCCGAGGATCCTGGCTGCCAGGGGACTTCCAGGCTGGCGTGTGTGTGTCTCCCCACCAGCCTCAGGCCACTGGCGTAGGTGTCGGCAGGCTGGCAGGCCCCCAGCACAAGGACGACTGGCCAGCTTGGACTCCAGAGCCTTGGCAACTGGGTGGCCCGACAGCGCCCTACAGCCCATGAACGCTGCCTCCCAAGTGCCTGCTGTCCCACGCTCAGTTTACCTTGCTGCCCACGTGGTGCTTAACACTCTTTAGGAAGCCGATGAAACCTTTCTCGCCTGAGCCAGCGCTGACAGATTCCCCAGGACCTGGGGATGATGGCCAGGGCAAGGCCAGGGACTGGGGCCCCTCCTCCAGGGCCGCCGCCAGCATCCCCTCCAGACCAGGGCACTTCCTGCCGACCACTTACCTGCCACGTGGCTTCAGGCTGCGGAGCCCACCTCTCCGTGCCTTAGTCCACTCAGCTAGCAAAAGGCAACTCTAACAGCTCTTCCCTGGGGAGCTACTATGGGCAGACTGTGGGGTGACGCACAGCCTGCACCCAAAAGCACTCCAGGTCATCACTCCTGCCACTGCTCTGCAGGGTCGTGGGGAGCTATGTGCTGAAGAGGCCTTGGGGCTCCCTCAGGAAAGGTGAGCAGGCTGGGCCTGGGAGGGAGGATGCACTTAGCAGCCCAAACAGTTTGTGCCAAGGTTCTGTGGCCACAGAACATCTAGACCTACTAGCAAGGAGGACTGGAAATTAAGGCAGGGCCAGGCATTGGTGAGCAGTCCTAGGGAAGGTCCCACAGGCTGCAGCCTGCACTGGGGCAAGATGGCTGTGGGGACAGCGTGGGGAGATACAGGTTGGGTGATGGGTGATGGAGGTGTGGGGCAGGGTGTGGGGATGGACATACCATGCAGAACGGGATAAAGTGGATGGGGTGTCTCTGTGCAATTGCCTGCCCTCTGCATGCTGCCGACCCCACAGTGCACCTCCCAGTGGCCGCACCCCTGTTGTCCCACCATGCTGCCCTGCACACCTCCACCCGGCACACCCGCGGAGTTCTGTGAGTCCTTGGTCTTGTGAGCAGCCACTGCAGGAGCTGGGGTGAGGAGGCGGCTCGGCCAGCCCCCCCACTCTGGGCTCCAGCCCCAGACTCCCTCCTCGGACTCCGGAGCAGAAGGATGAAGAGGGCTGTGCCCACCACACTGCGCCCACACCGAAACCCTTCCCAGGGGAGGCTCTCAGGCTGCCCTGGGCCACCATTTGCCCTGTGTCCCAGGACCTGCTCTGCCACCTCCTGCCAGGAAGTGCTCACCACTACCAGAGCTCTCGAGACCAGGTGAGGGAGGGTGAGTACCCCAAGGAGCTCTCAGATAGCGACGGTGACATCACCCAGGGTGCACCCAGTATGGGGTCGGTGGCCACCTTGGCACCTCCAGGACAACCTGGGACAGGGGACACGATTAGTCCTGGGAGCCCGCAGGTGAGCAGGAGGCCTGGGCCTTGGCTGGTGGTCTGTGGCCAAGCTCACTCAGGGCCACCTCGGGGTGAGCAGTGGGGCCAGGTGAGTGCCATCCCGCTTTCTCTGCCGGTGGCCTTGGGTGTGACTGGCCATTCAGTGACCCAAAGGGGCAAGTGAAAATCAGGCTCACAGTGGGAGCTGGGGGTGGTGAGGGTGGCTGGTGACCCTGTCGGACACCCTCGGACCTGGTGCCCAGCAGCCTCAGCAAGCGCTCTTGCCAAGAGCAAACCCCGGAGGGCGGAGAGAGGCAAGCACCAGGAAGAGGCTGCAGACAGGGCTCCAGCGGGCACAGAGCTGCCAGCTAAACGCTTGGCACTGTGCTTTCCCTGCCCCGGGGCCCTGGCTTTTAAACATACTGCACTGGGCTCCACGGATGCCGAGGAGGGCCCTGGTGGACAGGCTCTGTGTGCCAGCCGCCCGTCTCCGGGGTTCTGCCTCTGCCCCTCTGACCTCGGGACTTAGGTCTTTCCGGCTACATGGAGGCCATCAGAGGAAATCCGGTCAGGCAGAGCAGGGGGTACTGTCCTTCCCTCCTGCACCCCACACTCAGGGGGCTCGTGGATGCCACGGGTCTTTCTCCTGCTGACCCTCAGCATCCACCTGTGCATGGACTTCCGGCTCTTCCAGCAGCTCTCGTCTCAAGCCTGACCCGCCCACCCGGGTCTGCACACCTGGTCCTGTCCTGCAAAGCAGCCCCTCCCCTAGCCCAGGCTGAGAGAACTTCAACACCGTAGGACAGTGCCTGTCCCCCCCTATGGTCCCAGCCTCCATCCCACTGGTCACTCTCTGCAGAGGACGGCTGCGGGACCGGAGACTTTGCCTTCTGAGCTGGACACCACCACCATCCCGGGGTCCCCAAACCTCTGTCCTTGATGCCGGCGATGGTGAGAGCCGTACCACACTATGCTCTCCTGAGCCAGCTGGGCAGGGTCCAGCTGTCCTCTCTGGAAGGCCATCTTCCCACCAGCCCCCGGGGCCTGCTGACTCCCTGTCTGTGAATATCAGGGCAGGGTCAGGCATCAACTGCAGCCCAAAATTCAAGAAAAAACATAATTCCACGGGGAACTGGGACAACCTGTAACCTGCGTGACCTTGATCATGACCCCAGCCTCAGAGTACCTGGAAAATGGGGTCACTGCTGAGACTACACCGCAGAACAAGAGGGTGGGTCCCTCAGCGGGCTGCGGACCCACTGATTAGGCTGCCTCGGGGCAGGATGGGCTCAAGGTGGACAGCACCCCAGGCCCAGCCAGCCGTCCTCTGCCCAGGGAGCAGAGGTCCCACTGCCCTCGGGTAGAGATGGATTGTCAGAGTTTTGGCTCTGGGGCCCTTCAGCACCCCAAGTGTGGTCAGAGACTCAAGTGGGCCCGACACCTCGGGCTTCCTGAGAGCCGGAGCCCAGGAGTGGGGTGCGGGGTGGGGGTGGGGGTATCGAAGCCTGGAGGACCTGATGCTGTGGGCGGGGGAGCGCAATGGGCCTTGGGCCACAGCCTCAGGGGCCCTGAGAGGTGGGTAGGAGGATGGAGGGCTATCAGGGGCAGGGGTGGGGCCGGCACTGGGCAGGACTGGCGCTGGGCAGGGCTATGGGGGGGAGTCTGGAGGGGGCCATGACGGAGAGGGCGGGTCCTCGCAAGGGTGGGCAGGCTAGAGGGGGCGGGGCCAGACGGAGGGGCGGGGCGGAAGCAACGGGGGCGGGACTAGGGGTGGGGTCCAGGCTCCAGGGGGCGGGGCGAGCGCGGAGAAGCCCATCGGGGCCGGGTGGGGCGAGCGTGGGGCAGGGCCAGCCAGAGGAGGGAGAGGGCCTGTCAGGCGGCGGTGCGGCTGCGGCTCCGAGGCTGGGCAGGGCGGGAGCGGTGGGGACAGTGCTGAGAAAGGTCAGCCGGCGGGGAGGAGACAGCGTGGAGGAGGGCGGGCGGCGGGGCCGGCGTCAGGAGGCCGCGCCTGGCGGGGCGGGGCCAGCGCGGGGGAGGGCGGAGCCAGGCTGAGAAGGCCGCGCCTGGCGGGGAGGAGCCAACGCTGTAGAGGCCGAGACGGACAGGGCGGGGCCAGAGCGGGGAAGGCGGGCGTGGCCGCGGAGCTGGGGGCGGGCCTCGGCCGAGCGGGGCGTGGCTAAGGCGCGGCGGCCGCAGACGCAGCCCCGCCCGCCCGCCCGCCCGCCCGCAGCGCCCCGGCCGCAGCCGAGGGTTCGGCGCTCGCCGCCCGCAGTTCATTGAGCAGAGCCGATCGGCGGCGGCGGCTGCGCGGGAGCGAGAGCCGGCACAGCCCGCCGCCCGCCCGCACCGCGCAACCGGGGCCTGGCCTCGGGCCTCGGGCGCTCCACGCCGGGCGGCGGGCGGGGCGTGGGCCGGCGGCCGAGGAGCCCGGGCGCCGGGGGCATGAGCCACCCCGCGGCCCCGCCGCGCCCCCTCCGCCCGCCGCCGCCCGCCCGGGGCTAGAGGCGGAGACATGTCCAGGAGGAAGCAGAGCAACCCCCGGCAGATCAGGCGTGAGTCAAACTTTGCCCGCCCCGGACCGGTCCCGGCGCGCGTCCCCGCGGTGCCCGCGACCTTCACTCGCGCCCCCCGCGCCCCGAGCCCCGGCTGGCTCTGGGTCCCTGAGGGGCGCGGTCGCCGCCCGCCTGCCCCTCCCCCGTCTCGCCGAGATGGTGCGGTGATAGGGCGGCCCGGATCTGGGCTCAGATAAAGTTTAAAATATTCCATTCTGCAAGTCCCATCCTGATAAGATCACTCTGTCGGGACGGGCTGAAATTGTGATCTTATCTTGTGCTCGACTCTCCCAGGCTTTGTATCTGGAGGGAGGAAGAGACCTGGGAGCAGAGGGGGCACCTGGGCTTCGGGAACAGGAAAGCTAAGTGACATGGCCGAGTGGCGGGCAGCAGTGCCCACCTCGATGCTGGCCGCGGAGCCGCGTGGCAGGAGGTGGAGGTGCCGCGGGCTTCCTGAGCCAAACTCCCACCGCCCAGGGGCTGCGCGGCTGGAGTGTCCGCCGGGATCTGTCCCCTCCCCACGTGTAGTCCATGAGGGAGCTCCCACGGCTGCCCTGGCGTTGCCCCTTCGGACATCCAAGTTTCCCACGGCCGGCCTCTGGGCAGTACCTGAGTGGCCCGCGTTGCTGATGCCCCCAAGTTAAGAGTGCCTGGCGTTACCTGGGGCTCTGGGGTACAGGACCACTTGGCTGTGCTAGGAAGGAGTGAGAGCACAGGAAGCTCCCCGCCCTGTGCCAATAATAACTTCGCGCCTCTGTGGCCAGTGCTCCCGCCTCTCCCTGGCCACTAAGGAAGGAGAGGAGTCAGAGACCCCACTGCTGCCCAGTGCCCACCACTGCCACCAGCACTTTGGGTGCACTGGCCTGTGCGTGTCCCCACTTCTGAGGTCGGGGGAGGCAGCCAACCCCCAGGTGCACATGGGACTTATTTTCTGAAAGTCGCCTCCTATCCTGTCAACTCAAGTATTAAAACCACCCACAGGTCGCCATCCCCGTTGATTCTCTGGTTTCTTTTCCCCTCCTCGCTGTGTTCCTCTCTGTGTTTCTCTGCCCGGTTCTGTTCTTTGGTGTGTGTGTGTGTGTGTGTGTGTGTGTGTGTGTGTGTGAGAGAGAGAGAGAGAGAGAGAGAGAGAGAGAGAGAGAGAGAGCGAGAGCCAGCCTGATGAGAAATGCAGATAGCTTGCGCAGGGAGATCGCAGGTTGGGAAAGGATCTCCAGTGCAGATAAGGCCACAGGGGCAGAGCGGTGCCCAGCCCAGGTCACCTCACAGGACAGGAGCTGTGTAGGGTGGAGGCCTGGACCTGGGCTGGAGGGGGCCAGACTCAGGAGTGGGGCCAGGGCCCTCCTGCAGCCCTGGGCTCCTAGGCACTTCCTCCCCCTGGTAGATCTAAGCAAGTTAAGATGTGAACGCTGATTGTCAAGGAGCCATGGTGTCCGCCCACTGGGTGCCCACAGCCGCTCATGGAGAGCTCAGAGAGAGCTACACGTGTGGCGCCCCAGCCTCACCTGTGGCCGGGCAGGGTGCGGAGGGGAGGGGACCCGGCGCCCCTTCAGAGCCCGGCGCAGCTGCCCGAGCCTCTGTGTGCCTTTTGTTGTGCTGCTCACAGATAGATGTGCCGCGCTGATAAGGGCGCAGCCGATGGTGGCTGTGATAGGCACTTCCATTTATTAACTTCAAACGTGGGCGCTGGGGGAGGGTGCGTCGGGAGCACGGCCTTGGCCGGCCAGATGGCTGCGACGATAGGTGAGGGGGGCACTGGCGGGAGTGCGGGGCAGGACGCAGCCTCAGACCCCTGGCGCCCCCCAGCTCACCGAGCTCCCCTCTGCCCCGGTCGATGTGAGCAGCGATAAGTGCGGGGCAGCCGGCTGGATGGTGATCGCCAAGAGCGATAAGAGGCCTTATCTGGGGCCTCCAGGCCCGGCCAGTTCATGGCACGGCAGTGCGGGGGCGTCCGGCAGGGCAGCAGGGGCCAGGCGCTGTCCATCTGGGGTGCTTTCCCGGACACTGTCACTTGCCAAGAAGTTGCTCCTCCCCCTGCGGCCGGTGGTACGGTCCGTCAGAACAAGCAAACTGACTTTGCCAGCCCAGAGGGGGACACCCCGCCCCTAAGTCCTAATAAGTAGTGCTCGCTTTTGGCCCTGGGCGGTTTGTCACCTGCCACCGAGGGTGTTTTCCCCTGATTCATGCTGGGCTGTTGTGGTTCCTGGCAAGGGCTAGGTGTAACCTGCCTGGAGTTTTCTGGAAGAAAACACCAAGGTGGTTTCCATGGCCCCACTGTTGTGTGGGAACCCATGGTTTTCCAGCAGTTCTCCCAAATCAAGGGAAGGTCCGTCCACGGCAGGTTTTCATGGTGCACTGGCTGTGCAGCCCTGGGCCGACTGCCCCTACAGCTGAGACTAGTGGGGAACTGGGGATCGATTGGGGACCCTACTCAGATGTGGCCTGCAGCCCGTCTGCTGTGAAGAGAGACCAGCCGTGGGGGCCTCCGTTTCAGGCTCTGAGGGAATGGGCCGGGGCTTCTGGCTGTTTGGAGAGGGAAGAGCTGAGTGTGCCAGAGACAGGGAAGGGAGGTCGGGATGTGGGTGTGGAAGGGGACCACTTGTCCTCAGTTTCTTTCTCTGGGAAATGGGGGTAAGAATAAGCCCCCCACCATTGGGAGCCCCCAGGTCAGTCTGGAGCTGTTACAGGCCCACTTAATGGACCTGGGCCTGACCTGGTCAAGGGCTTGGGGGGGATTTGCCCCCGCCAAGGCACATTTTCACACATTCTCAGAGTTTGATTAAGCAAATTATTGGTGGCCACAGGATGACTAATTCACCCCAAACCTCAAAGCCGTCTGTCCCAGCGCCCAGTATGGGCCAGCCTCACTTATGGCGGGGTGGGGTGGGGGGTGGCAGTCCCCATGCAGAGGTGCAGAGTGCTGAGGGCGTCCCTTGGGGGAGCTCCTCCGCCCGGGGCTGCATTCCAGTGCCCTCCAGCCCTGTGACAGCATTGAGGTCACCCCCTGGTGCCCTTGCTGGAGAAGGTGTGAGAATGTCCGTGTAGGAGCCCCTGTGAGAGTGAGTCCTGCCATCCCTGCTGTCACCGCCCACCATCGCCCCTGCGGTGACTGCCACTGCACCTGCATCCAGGTCGGGGAGTGCAGGGCCCAGGACACGTGGAGGGACCCAGCACCCTGGCCAAGCCCCACCACCCACACACTTTGCCCCCCAGGTCCCCATGTCCTGGGGACCCAGGCTGGTGCTGACTGCAGCTGGCATCCAGGGTGCTTGCTCCGTGCCTGCCCGAGGATATGCCGCTCTGCCCTTACACCACCAGGCTCCAGGGCAGCTCAGAGAAAGTAAGTTTCTTGCCCACAAAAACAAAGGCATTGGCTGTGGCAGCCTGGCCCTGCCCTTTAAAGGTGCCATTGCACACACTCTTGGCTGCTGCCCGAGCCTCTGCCTCGGTCTCCACCTCTGTGAAATGGGCTCTGGGGGTCCCTTGCAGCCCTGCCCACTGCCTGCTGCCCAGCAGCCCAAGACCCCACAGCATGGGGAGGCCTTGTCCGGCCCTTCCAGGCCTGAGCCCCAGACCCAGTGCCTTAGTGGGAGCCCCTCCCGGGAGGTCACCAGGAACCCAGCATGGCACCAAGCACGCTGGGATTTAAGTGGGTCAGTTGGGAAGAAAGGAGGAGGGAATGCGATGCCATTAATTGTGCCCCTTATCTCCTGTTTCTATGCCAACCAGACGTTCCTGGGGCTTGACGGGCTCGTGAATAATGCTTCGCTTGGCCTATCTGCCATCGACAGGCCTCCTCCTGGAGGCAGCTGTTGCCTCCCTGATGGGTATCGCCATGGTGGACCCAGGCCTGGGTACACAGAGGCCTGGCTGGGCTCCTGCCCAGCTGCCTGTACCCTGGGGTCTCCTGCAAGCCTTGTCCCCATTTCACAGAGGGGGAAACTAAGGCCACAGCCTTGCAGACCCCTCCTGTCCCCCACAGCAGGATGGGCTAGGCAGAAAGGGCCTGTGGGGCTGGGGCAGCAGAACCTTGCAGGAGGGGCAGCTTCCACTGCATCCAACATGTGACCACGGCAAGCCACCCTCTCTGAGTCCCCACAGCCAGGCCAGGACCCACCCTTCAGCACCCTTTCCCCCAAACCTTTGCACAGCCATCCTCAGCCCTGTGGAGCCTCTACCTGCCCAGCAGCCATGGCCTGGGGTCCCACAAGCCACCCGTGGTCAGGAGTGGGTCTGCCTTGTGTGCCCATTGAGGGCCAGCAGATGCCCTGTGTGATGTGGCAGGGCACATGGGCTCCTGTGTCTGCTCGGCCACTCCCTATCTGGAGGACTGTGGGCAGGGTCTGCCCATGGGAGCCTTAGTCTTTGCACCTGCAGGATGGGGAGGAAGCACCTGTCCCCGGGCACTGCTGGGGGAAACGTGGAGGAGCCCTGTTGCCACCCCGTCCTGTTCCTCCCTGTGATTGGCAGGATCTCGGGTTTGCAGGGTATCTGAGGCAGAAGAGGGGCTTTAACAGAGAACCCAACATGGAGCAGCCTCGGGGATCCTTTGACAACGCTACTTGCTGCCTGGCCTCTCTCCCTTGCTCATCCTGGCGGGCACCGTGCGGTTCAGCCTTGGCGTGGAACTTGCCTTCTCCAGGCTGGGCCTCCGGCCGTCCTCAGCCGCCCTCCACGCCTCCTTCCCTCACCAAACTCTGGAAGGCCCCAGGGTGAGGATGCTGTCCCGGGTCCCTGGGACTTCTGCTCTTTAGAGGAGGACAAGAGGCCTTGTAGGGCCCAGAAGCATGTGCTGCTCAGCCTGGGAGGGCCCCTGCAGGGGCTGCCTCAGGGTGTCCCCAGACTTGTGGATGGACCCAGTCCCGAGGTGGCAGCAGGGAGCCCTGAGTACAGCTGTCACCTGGTGGGCCATGGCCCAGGGCAGCAAGCTGAGTGGCCTCGGCCAGGGTCGCCCGCTCCATTGCTGTGTTGGTGCCGAGGAAGGGCTGACGTGCCCTCCC